AGTTTTGTAATTATTGACTTATGTTCGATTTATTAAATTGAACCCATAATTTTCTCTCAAACTGTCTGCATTTAAGCAAATGAACACAATAGTTTGACACTTCCATACATTTCTTCCAATCTTTTCACTCAGCTCTCCCTGTGTCCTGATCTTTCACAGGCTGAATATGCCACCAGGATGATGGGAAAAGCCTTCCTGAGGCTCACCTTTCATTCATTCATCTATCCTACGACTAATAACAAAAAAGGAATATCCGATTACAATACAGATACTGTGTGCATGGTATGATCGGGAGCAGTCTGGCTGTTCCAGGAGCAGGTGGAAACATCCTCTGACCAAAATGTGGGGTGTCACAGAAGTTGTCAGAAACAGTGATTTCTATGCTGAGAAAAGGCGATGAGTGAAATAATTATCTAGGTAGAGGAATGAAGGCTGGCTTTGTAGTGATTGCCCTAGGGATCACGCAAAGATCCTAAGACTAGAAAAATCATGAAATCATGCCATGCCAAAGAAACTGAAATTAGTTTAGTACAGCTGGGTAGTCAGAAGTTCTTACACCTTTAAGGATGAGGAAGGGAAGATCATGGATTGCAAAATGAGGATGTTTACAAAGCACTAGAGAAAAGAAACTTAGAATTTATACTAAGGCCAATTGCCTCAGCAATTCATCCACAATGAAAGAACATTATCTCCTGCGGCTTAATTGCCACTTCCTAAGGACATCTCAGACACATTCACTTTCATCCAGTTATTGCCTTTTCTCTGTCTTTGTTTACCATTGTTTACTTTCCGTTGGAACATTTAATAGAGTGGTATTTCTTTATCATCAAACATTTTCTTTTCTTCTTCTTTCTTCCACAAGTTATTTCCTTACCTACATCTCTTGGCTGGATCTATAAACATGTTCACAGCTGCTACAGCCAAGACATCTGAAATTTATACTTTCCTTTTGAACCCACAAAATTTAGCTCCTACTTCTCTCATTACTCAGGAAACAACTTCAAGTTTACGGACATAAAAGCAGAACATGCCTTTGATATGGATTTTCCATTCACTTGATGCTCCTTCATAACAAGTTCCTGCTCTAAGTCATTGGGACAGAGGGTAATAAAATTATTTGTGGTTCTCACAATAACCTCTTTCCCTGAAATAGTTACAGGACCAACTCGCATCTATAACTTTAGCCAACACGTGTATTAGGCACAAGGGGAGCCTAGCATAAAAATGCACACTATTTGAAAAACAGTATAAACAACCTGCTTTAATTATGATAGAAACACATTTCTACTCTTCAAAGACATAAGTAGTTGTTCAAACATAGCACTTGATACTTTTATTATTAACAGTAACTCAATCAGTGGAAATGTTATGATTTAATAATAATGATGATATCTATATACGTTTCAATTATATATCTTCAACCCAGAGGGTTTGGAGTTCCAACCTTCCATATTTCACACTTGAATTCAATGAGTCAGCAAAGGAATTAATTCTCTCTCCTGTTCCCTTCCAGAACTCACTTATTCTCCAGTGCCCTCTTCCAGTAAGTGGCACCACCTTCAAGACAGTTACTCAAATCTGATAAGGCAGTGTCCCCTCACAGGCAATCACTAAGCTGTCTTGATTCAAGATCCTCAGTGTATTCTGAATCTGATTCAGATCAAGAGAACCCTCTCTCCTGACTGTTGGTTCTCTAGTTGGAGGCTCCACTGGCACTAGCACAACAAGCTCAGAAGCCTCCTAATTAAGCTCTGCCTCCAGATTTAACCCTCCACCCTGTAGCCCTCATTTCAGTCTGAATGAGCATTCTCAAAATAATTGATCCTCCAAGCAACCCTCGGTCCTGTGTTTGGCTGGGATCTCCTCCTATTTGGACTACCTCCCAGCCTCCCATGTGGAAATATCTGCATCTTACTTTTATTGCCATAAACTTTCTTATATTAATCTCAATTTACCAATCACTTTACTCCTCACAGCTTCACTCACGCTACAACATTTTGCATTGAGTCTGTGCAATTTTACGACATTGCACATGCCCATCTTTACCAAGGAAATATACATTACTTTAGAATTTCTGCCTACACCCAATACCTAGTAGAGTTCTCCTTTAGCAAGTGTCAATAAATACTTAAACGATGACTACATGTATGATTCATACACGTATTAATCTGGATTTTAAAATCCCAGATCTAATACAGGCTGTGTAATCCTGGACAAAATTCTTAATTTCTCTAAGGTTCGCTTTTCCCCATGACAGAAGACTTGAAACTCCCAAGTGTACACCACTCTTGAGTGAGTGGCTCAGGCAAGGCCCACCCAAGAGTCACATTAACTCAGTACAGACGGTGCAGACATACAGGCTGGCTGGTTGCATACAAACCTCCCGGCCTAGTGTAATTGAAGAATTAAAGTCAATTTGATTAAATACATTCCCATAAATCACTCACATCCAAGCCATTTTGGGGTTATTTTAGGTAATCTATGAGAGTATTTTTCCATTAAGTTTATTATTTTTTTCTCTTTTATCCAAAATTCTACAATGGCAATTTTACACTGAATCCTGTCATATGGTTTTACCATATGTGTTTATGTTTGAGTTTAAATCATGTTGGCTTCCAGCACTGCTATTTCAACTGTGCATCTGAAAAAAGGAGGCTGACTAAACACGTGGACAGTGTGCTTACTCCAAGAGATAGCAAATGAAGTCACAGCGAAAAGAATGCTCCATAGGGTGCCAGATCAACGTAAGCGGGGGAGGGGATCTGAATTATCATCTGGCACACGGCAGCAGAGAACTCAAAGGAACCAGTAGCTCAGCAGTCACTTGCGAAGGGACCTTATGAGTGGTGCTTGAGTTTCCATAAAACAGCATCCATAGTCTTGTTAAACCAATCTAGAATTTACATACTAGATTGAATGGGTATTAAGTATGTGTTACTGGGAAAATTGCTTAATATTTCTAAGACTCTATTAGACGGGTGAATTTTAGGATCAAATTAGAATGTCTATAAAAACTGAATCTGACACAGAATAAATTCTCAGTAACTGTTAGCTATTATTATACTGTGATTAATAAATATTTTGCAAGGTGGATGCTCTGAATAAGCAGAGAATATAATCATAAACAAGAACCATTTTGAAGTTTGTTTTGCTAATTGTGCATCATGTGGCATGGACTTTGCTAAACGCTATGACCCAAAGACAAATAAGACGGACTGTTTAGGTTTTACCTTCCAGAATCTCAGTTTGGGGTGGGATTTTTTTTTTAAGGATGGGTGTTATTCAAGCGTGATAGTTGTGAATGCAGGAGCTACCACAGAACAAGAGCAGCTACACTGGATTCCTGAAGCCAAGAAGCCAGCAGTAACTTGAGCAGATGGTGAGCAGTAAGCCGCCCATGGCTCATCTCTGTGATTCAACAACTGGAGGGAAATGACCATGAGCTTGGCTTCTGGAGTCTGGCTGACTGGGCTGCAAACCCGGCTCTGTCACTTCCTATTTGTGTGGCTTGAGCAAGTCAACCTCTCTAAGTTTTGGCTTACTTATTTGCAAAGTGGGGAAATGGAGTAGTTATCTAATAACACTTATCTGGACTTTTTTTTCAATTATACATTAACTGCTTAATATGGTACCACACATATAATAAAGTCTCAAGAAAAAACTTTCCTATTTCTAGAATTATAAAAATTAACACTATTACTATTAGTGCTATCGCTATTAGTACTACTATTGATATTAATACTACTATCCTTCTATAGGTCCTGGTGGGAACAGAAGGTTTGGCAATCACGTTTGATGGTGGAGGTAGGCACTGGGAACATCACTAAGCATGCAAAGAGACCCATGCATCTTTATAACACGGTTTCTCTGACACAGTGTAGACAACTTCAGCAAGTTGCTTGCCCTCTTTATGCCATCCCTTCCTCTTATGTAAATAAAGTGAACCAGAACCTAATTTTACTTATATCACAAAGTGAGTTACGTGGCATATTATTTTTAGGCTAGAGAGAAAAGCATTCTTTGGTCTCCTAACACATGATTAATTATACTAAATCAAAAACTCTCTCATTAAATTCAGGGAATTCAAATTAAACATCATCAAATATGTGTGAAAAAAGCTTCAGTGGCTGAAAAATAAAAGTTTACTAGAGGAATAATGATGTAGTGGACAGTCCTGGGTTCTTTTCCAGATTCTTCCGAGTACTAGTTGTGAGATGTTGGGCAAATTACTGAACTCTCCAAACCTCAGACTGCTCATTTGATAACTGTAGATCATATTAACTAGCTCATTGTTCTATAATGAAAGAGCATGTAACAGGATGGTGTGGCTTGAGGTGGGCCATCAATAACTCTTAGGTCCCTGCCCCACAAAAAGATATAATAAAATGCTTCATTAAGAGGAGACTAAGTGAAATCTGTGGTTTCTATCTTTTCTATGTGAAAGTATTTCAAACATATTTTATTTCTGGCAGAGGTCTTTACCTTTTCTATTAATTTATGCAGAGGGCACAGCACGTCTCTAAGTGAGTTACATGGCATATTATTTTTAGGCTAGAGAGAAAAACATTCTTTGGTCTCCTAACATATGATTAATTATACTAAATCAAAAACTCTCTCTTATTAAATTCAGAGAATCCAAATGAAACATCATCAAATATAGTCCATGGGGGAAAAGCCCTAATATTTGAAAGTTAGGATCTAGTCTATAATATTAGGTTTGGATAAATGCATTCACATATCTCTACAGACGTATTTCTGTATCCTTCTCTATATTGACCTATCTATCTATAGAATGCTTCCATTTCTGATTCAAAATACAAAAGCTGAACACTAAAGTCAATATTGGCATGTACGGGCACAAAAAAAACAGCTTTCCAGAAAAACCATTCCTGTTTTTATATCTCTTTACATAGCTATAAAGTCAAATTCAGGGTACAGTTTGGCTTTTAAAACATCTCCTTTGATATCCATTTCAGTGTGTTGGGTAAACACACACTTACGATATGCGCATCCAAACGCCTCGATCCTCATTCCGATTCTGCCCTTGGGGTTCCACTCTAAAGGGAGGAAGCGCAGAAACCTGGCTTTGATGGAAGGCTGGAGTCTATAGTACACAACACTGTCTGCATTTGCATTTCCTGAAAAACCCTAGAAGAAAAGGGAAAGAATTCAATGTATCTGGAGAATGTCTATTTCACTTTGTCAGCAATAACACTGATGAGCCATGTCTGATTTGCTTTTTTACTATAAAACGGCTACCTTCTTTAAGAAAATCATATTAACAGTTAACATCGTAATGTTGCTCCATCCAGGGAAGTTACTATTGCCCAAACTTTTCTTTATATTGAGTAGTTTAAATTCCACCATCCCCATTAAGCCAGGTTTCAACTATGATAGCTTCGATAAAGATTGTTTCTATCAAATGTAGAGTAAACTTAAAAGTTGTCAACTTGTGAACATCGCAAAACATTGATAAAATCTTCTTCCAGTATTTAAACACTAGGATCTGATCCAGCAAAGAAGTTGCTCACATCACTGATGAATGAGAAAATTTACAACCTGTTTCTGTTGTTTCATTTCCTCATCTTACTCATTAACATAAACAAAAGGATCCCCCAACATTCAAGTCAGGACCGCACTCTGATGACAGGTTGTTAAACCTCATGGCACTGCTGGATGTGCCCATTAAAAATGGTTAAGGGAAATTGGAAGCAATAATAATTTGGAAAGATCTGTAATTAGACTCATAGACTCTAAAATTTAAAAGCTAGAAAGACCATGGGAATGATGCTAAGCTAGCACAGTCAAATTGCAGAGAGGAAATTAAAGGTCAGAAAGGTGAAAAAAAGAAAAGTATCTGGTGTTTGTAAAACGATCATATGGTAAGACCAGGAGCTATATTCCTTCCACAATATCAAGATGCCTCTACCTAACACGCAATTCACTTGCAAATCTGCAAACCCCACATCCTATGGCACCTAGCTGCTAAATAGCTTTTATTTCCTCTTACGTGACATACTGTGAGGCTTCATGTATGAAAAAATTAGCATGAAGCAGAAGTTGTTCTCAATAATTTATATTTAATTTTTATTTCTTCTTTTTCTCCTTCTTCCCTCCCTCCTCCTTCCTTTTCCCCTTCTTCTCTCCTCCTCCTCTTTTCCCTCCTTTTCCTCCTCCTCCTCTTTTCCCTCCTTTTCCTCCTCCTCCTTCTTTTTTTAACTGTAACAATGCAGAAAAAAAATAAAGGATAATGCCACTACCATGAGCGGATCAACGGATGAGGTCAACCTCGTGTCAATTATCCAAGGCGAAGGCAAACGCATTAGCAATACCAATCCCCAGGGAGTCTGTCATTTGCCTTCTTTTCTTCCTACTTCACAAATATCCCTCTCTTGGTAGTTACCAAAATATTTTCTAATACATTAAAAAAAAAGAGTTGGGTGATTCATAGTCAAGTTAATTTGATTTGATTCCCCTTATTAATCAATTCTCTACCTCCTGCCCCCTCCCCACCAGTACCCCATACACCCATTTTCAGACTCACACACCACAGGTAGTTCTATCATGGCACCTCCAAATTATAACCAAAATCTGGGCATCTCTCTTCATCTCATCTATGACCACCCAGTTCAGCAAAGCTGTACCTCACCAGAACTACCTCAATGGCCTCTTCCTCATCTTTTTAATGCATCTGTTCTCTGTCACCTTTCCCATCTACATCCCTGATCTCTTCCCCTCTGAGCCGTCAGTAGGACTTTTAAAGGTGAATTTAATCATGTCACGCCCACTGCTTCCTTTACCATTTAGAACAAAATCCCCCCTCCTTATCAGACATACATCAGTCTTTGGCACATCCTCCATGATGTTTTAACCATACCGGGTGTCCTTGAACAAGCCCAGCTCAGTCCTGCTTCCGGCCTTTGCACCAGCTGTTCATTCTACTCTGAAAGTTCTTCCCTCAAGATCTTTGCACAACCAGCTCCTCTTGTCATTTCAGGCCTTGGCCAAAATATTACCACCTAAGACAGGCTCTTTCTGATCACAGCTTCTAAATTAGCGTACCTGGCACTCCTGCCTCTTGTCTTCCTGTTTACTTTTCTTCATATTACTCATTATTTTGGGCGTCTCCTTTTGTTTGATGATTATTTATTTATCTCATCCCTCTAGAAGACAAGCTCCATTAAAATAGGACCCTTACTATCTTCCATCACAGTACCTAGAACACGGCTTGGCTCAAATTAATTCTCAATAAAGTATTTGTTGGATGTGTCTGTTTGGGACAGACTGGACTTACAAACAAAACAAAACAAAATTCAACAGGTTTCTTGATTACAGGATCTCTCAGAGCATGTCAAATGTGCATGTGCAAGTGTGCCTGGATCTCCCATGACAAGGACAGTTATCCAGCATGTTTCAAACATATTAGGCCCATACTCCTGGCTAATGTTTCCTAGGACATAAATAGGAGAACACTGTTTAATTCCACAGATATTTGGACTCTGATAACCAGACCCTTCTAGAAAGTTCCATTCTATTCCACTAGTCAAAATTCCATATCCTGGACGTGGTATGTATGTATGTATGTATGTATGTATGTGTGTGTGTGTATTTACAGGCTCTCCAAATCAAGGTAATGCGCATCCAGGGATGAGAACCTGGTCTATAAACATTCAATCCTCATCACATCTTCTTATACTTTTATTTTCCTGGGTGTCACTGGTGGGCTAATACAAGCCCTAATTACGATTTCTTGTGGAGAACAGCTGGAAGATGAATTACATAACCTTTCAAAATATCTTCCATTTTTTCAAAATTAATGTTAAGTTCATGGATTTAGATAGATGCCACTATGATGGTCTCAGCATTATATGAGATTAGGAGAAAAGATGCACAGTGACAGTGGCAACAGACAGGTAAGTGGCATGGGGACACATACAAGTGGCAATCTTTCACATTTTACCTGATCAACTTATCAGTTATTTGAATTTTGAGAACATAAAGAAGAAATATAAGGTACTTAGTTTGCGTAAGTAACAAAAATATCTTGGCACAGTCAAAATTTTAAGCTTTTATTTCTTACAAAGGATGAGGGAAATTGTGAGCTGGGGGATATGGGACTTTCATTCAATATATTTCAGTCATACCTGGATTTTTTTAATGAGCATGTATTAATTTTATAATAATTAGTAAAATAAAGTAAGACATAGAAATAGGAAGTGTAGACAGTGACAGAGCAGGCAGAAACATCATTTAGCAGCACCCTGGGCACCTTAATACTTTCTAATATCAATGTCATTGGGAAAATATACACCTTTACTATTTTTTTATTTTATTTATTTATTTTTTTTGAGGAAGATTAGCCCTGAGCTAACATCTGTCACCAATTCTCCTCTTTTTGCTGAGGAAGACTGGCCCTGAGCTAACATCTGTGCCCATCCTCCTCTACTTTATATGTGGGACGCCTACCACAGCATGGCTTGCCAAGCGGTGCCATGTCTGCACCCGGGATCCAAACCAGCGAACCCTGGGTCGTCAAAGCAGAATGTGCACACTTAACCACTATATCACTGGGCCGGCCCCAGCAGCATTACTAGTCAGTAAATATATGTGACTGAACAACAATATTTGTACTGTTCTGCTCCACTAGTTGAAATATTTTTAATACATACGATAAAAAAGGTTCTGCTTTGGAATTCTATATTTAATGGGAGTTTTTTTCAGAATGTTTGTGAATGAGCCATGGGATTGATGTTACATTACCTTATAAATGAAAAATCCAGTGCATATTATCAGGCTTCAAACGTATTTCCTTTGCCTAGGAAACCTTCCTCAATTTCCCATGAAGACTTTTTTCGTACCATCACAATTCATAAAGAAATGCATAGATTTAAACATCTCTTTCTCTTTTCTGAAAAAATAATTTTATGCCATAAATGTTTATTTACATCTTCCCTGATATGATAGATTCTGAACTTTAGTGTATGTCAGAATTACTGGAGGTGCTGTTTGCAAATGCAGATTTCTAGATCCGGCACCTCACGCGCTACATCTGTGGGTGAGGCCCTGGAATCTGCATTTCTAATGCAAGCCAAGCTGATTTGTGCTTTTGCTCTTTAGCTTGTTCTTTGAACATTCTTCTGGTTTGCGGATATCACGTGCTCTCTTTCCCTCCCTATATTATCTCAAAACTTTTCACAGAGGGAGAATATTTCAGAAGAAGGCTTCACTAGGGCTAACTTGCAAAGAGAGAAATAAGCAGCATATGTGTTCTGTGCTGTCAATCTAAATGTCTTGATCGCGAAAGTTTGTGCCTCAGTGTCAGACACAGCAGAAATGTATTATATGCCTTTCATATTTGCATCAACCCTGTGAATTAGTCATTTATGTTCCCACTTTAAAACTGAGAATAATGAAAATTACAAAGGTTATATGCCTAAAGCCACACAGTCAGAAATAGGTAAAGTAAGAATTTAATTCCAGGCTTTTCTGACTGCAAAGCCCATAATTTAGCTAAGCCATCAAAAGGCCTCATACTAACAAAACATGAAAGTAAACAACTCACCCTAGAGGAAAGTTGATATTTTATCTGAGGCTTTTTTTCCTTTTTCTTATAATTTATATTTAAAAATCTTTGACACATTTGAGAGGAATGCGACTTAGATTATTGCTGAACTGGGACACAGCTCTACCAGCTGACTTTTATAGACAAAAGGATTGTTCTATTAAACTTTACATTTTGTCAAAACTACTGGAGTAGAAGAAAAATAAAAGACAAATATTCTATAATCAATAAGACTCTTGCATATAAACGGTCACGTCCTAGTAGATATAGAATGTAAAGGAATATGCCATTATATCATCAAATATATGAAATATCTACAAGTAAAATTAAGGTGATGTGTCTTATGAGATAAAAATCAAAAAGCCTTAATTGCATTTTTCTTTTCTTTGAGACTTGATGATTTTCAAACTCAATGAGGTGGTTTAGAAATGTATTCTAACCAAGATAATTTATGGAATTAATGAATTAAAGTTTTTCACAGGATTGTAAGTATTTCCATAATGATTCTAAAGTTTATGAAGAGGTGTAACAGCATTAATTTCTTTTTCAAATATTAATTCAGCAATTCATCTATAAAAACCAAGAT